CTCGCCCAGCCACCAGAAGTACCTGGACTACGACGTCAACCTGTACTCGGGGGTGGACGGCATGGAGCAGGATGGCGTGGAGGAGACGGCGGGTGTTTTCTACTGCGACGCGTCCCATCAGAGCCAGGAGGTGTTCTCCCCCGTGATGCGGTTCCCTCCGGACACCATTAGCGACCTCTACAAGAAGATCACCGATCTCCGTCTCACCGTAAATGTAGAAGGTGCGAGGTAGACAATAATACTGGGCATGCCTGCCTTAATGCGAAGCAGTCTTATAGCTGTTTTCCTGCACGAGGTGCCGATGTATTTTCTCGGCTGACGCTTGCGTGGGCTGGTTCACTAAGAAGGTGCTTTTCTTCCCATAGGGTTCGAGCCCATACACGTCCTGTGCCCCAAGAGGTCCTGCCACAAGCTGCACGCACTGCTTCCCGCTCGCAACAACATCCGCTATCATATCATGATGGATGTAGAGTCCACCTGCCAGTACCGACGGGTTACGATACGCTCACCCCTCCAGGTGCGAAAAGGAGGTCCTTTAATTAATACCATGGTATTGTTAAGATTAGGAAGCATATTTTTACTTTTTCTAACAATTTTCTGCCGGTAGATTCGCAACGAGACGACGTTCTCCATCGGACTGTACTACAAGAAGTCAGTGTTCGACGCGCTCGGCCTGCCACACATCGGCGAGTCCACAAACCCCTTTGACGACTCGATCTTTTTCATGAACCTCGAACCAGACAAGGTGTGCGACGTGCCCCTGCACGTGGCCTACAACTGCAAGATCCACTTCCATCCAGCATACAACCCGTAAGCAACAAAGCAAGGGCAAACATGACGAGCTTTAATTATGGGTTCTCATTTTAATCCAATCAGATCCTTAAATTTTCTTTCAAATTTCCTTTATTTATCACAACGACAACCCTATGCGGCTGCATACCACGGGAAAATCTCTCGAGTATTAATTTTCGTTTCCTTCTTCCAATTTGAACAATTTGAACTAAACAAAAAAACATCACCTTTTGCCGCAGGTTCTGCGCAAGTGAGAGTGGCCTCTGGTGGAAAGACCTCGGGGCTGACATGAGTACGGCCAAGGACTTCTTCTGCTCGGCCAAGGACGACAAAGACTTGAGGGCCTTCTCCTGCCGGGTGGTCTGCTCCGAGGGCTCCCCCGTCAAACAGACCTACCGCTCCATCCCCAATTACATGCTGCGATTGCTGCCGCCCCTCCAGTTCTACAACGGCCTGCCGTTCGCGGTGGAGCTCAAGGTGCCCTCCATCGCGTGGGAGCAGCGAGTGGAGGCCGGCGACCGGGTGTCGCAGTACTTCCTCAACCTGCAGAAGCAGCACCGGGTCGCGGTGGAGGTCCCCGCCTATCTGGGGCTCTCCTGGTCGGGGAACTTCAACCTCACTTCAGGTGCGCGATCTGAACTGCTTGCTGCAATGCTGCTGTCGTTAAGTAGTGCCGTCTAATCGGCTCGCCGCTCTCCCCGGCAGATCTGGAGGAGAAGACGGTGACCATGACGACGGAGCAGGACACGGAGGGTGGCAACAAGCAGCTGGGGGTGACGGTGCGCGTGGACCGCGCGGGGACGTGCGTGGTGTACCTCCACTCGCCCTACTGGATCGTCAACAAGACTGGGCTGCCGCTGCAGATCAGGGTAACGTGCTGTCGGCTTGAGAGCGCGCGACGCCGCCCACCCCACCAGGGGTTGCTTTTACTCACCATGAAGCGGTTGGTCTTTGGGTCCACTGCAGGGCTCGCTGTCCGACGTGGTCTACGACGTGCCGGCCGAGGAGGCGCTCCTCTTCAGTTTCCGCAAGGTGCGGCGGCGGTGCGCGAGGCTGCGGGCGTACCACTCCTCCTGGTCCTCGGCCTTCTCGCTCGACACCGTGGACACCAACGGCCTGGTGGTGTGCAGGTGAGTGAGGAGATGACATTTCATCAAACTCGATGAACCCGTCCGTTGTCAAACCACACACAAAAACCACCGTTGTAATCGCAACCGAACACTGTGCTGCGCGCCCATAGGGACCGCGAGCGGCGGCGGCACTACCGCATCCTGCAGTCGGTGCAGCTGTCGTCGGGCTGCCCGCAGCTCACCAAGATCGTGACGCTGCTGCCCAACCTGATCGTCTACAACCGCTGCCGCCGGCCGCTGCGCTTCATGGAGGAGAACGAGCGCGCCGACCTGTGGATCGACCTGGCGCCGGACAAGTGCCAGCCCTTCTGGCCCGTCACCGACTCCATGCGCATGCTGGTCAAGTACCGCGACAGCAAGCTCGTGTCGCAGCACTTCCCCGTCACGCAGACGCACACCACCGTGCTGCGCATGGACCGCGGGGTGAGTACACGCGACGTGTAGGGCGGGCGAGGGGGTTCACATCACTACAGCCCCTGACGCCGTGCTCTCCTCTCCTCCTGCAGACGGGGCTCGTCGTGGAGGTCACGGGCGGCGGGGACATGCCGTTCGCCGTCGTGTTCCGCTCCTACTCCGAGGGCGACGCCCCGCTGCGCGTGGACAACTTGTGCGAGGACCTGTTCCTCAAGGTGCACCAGCAGGACCTGGGCCAGGTGGCGCTACTCAGCCCGTACCAGTCCATGCTGTACACGTGGGACGACCCCTCCCGAGAGCGCTGCCTGCTCTGGAACGTGTACAACAAGAAGAGCAAGGGTTTCGTTGCCGACTTCTGGAAGGTAACGCACAATCCAACCGAGAGAGTTCCCGCTCATTGCTCCATCCCACGCCGTGTAAACAAAGGCGGTCTGTTTCAATTCAGAACTCTGTTTGGATCCGCATCGGAATCCACCACTCCAATCGTGTCGTTCCGTTGCGATTTGAAGTGCACTTTCCCTCACGTCTCTTCATGAAAACTCTTTTACTGCTCTTTCCAGGACGGCCACGGTCAGGAGAGGGTGTGCTTCCACTCGGTGCGGCAGCCGCCGGGCTCGAGCTCCGCGTCGTCGGGGTCGGCCGCGGGCTCCGGGACGGGTGGGGTGGCGTCGGCGTCCTCCGTGGGCTCCGCGCCCACCGGCGTCACCTCCAAGCTGTCGGCCGGCTTGAAGCTGCTCGCCCCCAAGGCCCCGAAGCAGGACGGCGGTTCCTCCAGCAGCGACGACACCGAGTCCGACGACCTGCTGCGGTCGCAGGTGAGCGCGGTGCGGGCGGTGCGCGAGGGGATGTACTCGCCGCGGAGCTCGCCGAACACCCCTGACCTTTAACCCGCCATCACATTCCAGCAGCTGAAGCGCACGCGGCGCGACAAGGTGGTCGTGTACTGGGTGAGCTACCTGGAGGCGCACCAGCGCGTGCTGCTCTTCACGCAGGACGAGCGGGTGTCGCTGAGCGCGCGCAAGCGCATCCAGTCGGAGCGCTCGCACCTCGAGGCCTTCCTGTCGCTGAGCGGCGTGGGCGTGTCGCTCATGGCCCCGACCGCCTCCCCGGCGTCGCCCGCGCACGGCCCCACCCGGGAGCTGGCCTACCTCAGCGTCACGGACTCGGCCGCCGTCTGGGAGGTGTGCATGGCCCACCGCTGGAAGCCGCTCAGCCTGGAGCTCGCCTCGTGGATCGAGGACAAGTGGCGCCACGACCACAAGCGCGCGCAGATGAAGGAATACGTGCACGTGAGTACAGTCGCGGTGGACCAGACCAACTAGGTTGCCAGAGTGGGCGGAGCTAGTCAGGCACCTGGGGCTTGGTTATGAGCGCGTGTTTTCCAAAATTTTAACTTTTCAGATATGGTTTTAGTTAATGCAGTACAAACATGCACTCACTGCCCTAATCCGCGTCCAGGTCGACTTTGAGAAGATGTACATGACGAAGCCGTTCTACGGAGAGTTGCGCCGACGGTACAACCCCGCCTTCTGGATGCAACTGCGTCGATCCGAACACCTCACCTACTGCAGGATGAGCATACACCGACTGCAGGTAAGCCCCACGCCGCCATCGCGTTTGAGCGACTGGACGCCCAAGTTTTAAACCGCCTCATGTCCGACACTGCTGCCTGCTGCCCTGCCTCCAGCTCGACAACCAGCAGCCGTCGGCGCACTTCCCCACCGTGCTGTGCCCCGCCCCCGGCAGCGGCGCCCCCGCCCCCGCCCCCGCGCAAGCGGCTAGACGCGCCCTGCTCAAGCCCTGCGTCGACCTGCTGGTGCTGCGGCGAGCGCGCCCCGCCTACCGACAGAACGTCTACAAGTACGTCAAGGTGGTGGTGCAAGAGTTCAGCGTGCAGCTCGAGCGCGACTTCCTCGACGCGCTCCTGGCGTCCTGGGCTGCCGCCACCGCACCGCCCGGTCGACCCATCCCAGACGACGACCAGCACCGCCTGCTGGAGGGGCTCCGCCAGGACGTGGCGCGCAGCTACGTCCCGGTGCACTTCCTAGGCGTTGTGAGTGCAGAACCCGAACCCGAACAAAGAACTAGATACTTCACTGGTGGGAAGTGAAAAGGGCATAAGTCCACGGACTTTGCAGTCGACTTACGCCCTTTTCACTTTTCACCAGTGACTTCGGTCGTATCGTATACGTATATCGTATGGTTGGTGACTGTGACACGTCCTGGCTCCTCCGCCCGC